CGCACAAATGACCGTTCGAGTTGTCAAACAACTTTGACCTCGTCCTTCGTCAGCAAAGTGGCAAATAAGAATGCTCAAGTCACAATATGAAATGTCAGCACAAACTTCTCTAGCATAAGCACAACTCGGGTTGGATTCACATCTAAATTCTCATAATTCACAGAAACAATAGAGTAAATAAAAATACAACTGAATAAAATTTTATTTAATGGGATTGCCAATTACAAAAACTATAATTAACCTACCTCTAATTATTATGCCATTTTTTGGTACTGGCACTGTCATGAATTGCAGTAGGATCTTATTAAGTCTTGGATGCTGACAAGAAATTTAGTTCCCAAGTGTAGTTCCTGTGTAGTGCATATATGTTGGTGCTTTGGTGGTAATTGTGACTTGGCCTCTTGCCAACTCCTATTGTTTTGTATTTTCTTAGGCTATTCTGTGAAGTCTATTGACCTTTGTGGGGGTATATGTGGAGTCCAACATAAGCAATCTAAGTCTGTTGACATTAGTGGGGGGGACTTGTGAATTGAGTATATTGCCTATAAAGGAATTTCCTATTTCATTAAATTGTATAATCACATGAACCATTTTTTTTTAATATAGTGTTACTAGAATTCATATAAATTTATACAATTTTTTTTTTACTTATTTAATATTTTAAAAGGGAAAATCTATGACGCACACTTTTAAATTGGGGAATTGATGCTTTTCATTGTTACAAGGATTGCCATCAAGTGTAGTTGCAGCTATGCAAGATCTGAGTGTGTTTTCTTTGGAGTGAATGGAAGTTTCAATTTTGTTTGGTGTTGAAATTTTAATGTTTTAGCCTCGGGTATTCTATCTGGATGGGTTGTTTTTGTTGGTATTTTTGGGTTAAAAATTAAGTCTACTTATCATCAGATTCTTTTATTAATTCCTATTATCTTCGAGCTAATAATTTTTTTTTATTTGATCACAAAAAAAAAAAAAAAGCAAAATGGGGCACATCATAAAAGTAACGATTTTGTGTGGTGAAATTTATGAATATTCGTGGTGTGTTATGTTAATTTGTGGAAAAAGTTACTATGAAAAATTTATAGTATCCACCCTAAAGTAGGGGTGGAGTGGACTTGTGCCTAATGGCCTGCCAAGCTCACCCAAGTCTGCCCATGATTTATAGGACTTGGTATTATGATTTGGGCTCATGAGGTCAGGTTGGGAAAAATATTCTGGCCCAATTATGATATAGGCACTACAAGAAAAATAGGATGTAGTGACATTTTTTTATGGCGTATTTCAAAAACATCATGAAATCTGTCAAGAATTTTCAAATTCCTAAAAAATTAAATTATATCATCTCCTTTTGTGCGCCGATTATTAGAAAACAGGGGTTAACATTATGCCGTTAAAATAAGATAATTAAATTATTCATTATTTCTTTTTAAGGTAGTTGTACTTGTAGGAAATTCAAATCAATTAAAAGGACTAATAAATGTGAATGTTTGATTAAGATTGCGTATGATTTTTGCGAATGTTTTGGTAAATTTATGATTAACTGATGTTTTCTAGGCATTTCAATATGTTAAAACTTTTTCCTTGTTTGTTTGTTTATAATATCACACATACTAATCTTTAATTTCTCTTTTGTCTACATTTTAATAACTCTATAAGTGGGTGAGAGAGTGACATTAGAATGAGATAATGACTTCAGTGCTTGTAATAATAGTTGTTTTGACTTGATGCATTTAGGTTGATGGAAAGAACCATAAGATGGGCTGTAGTTGCCTTCATTGTAATTACTATAGTATTAGAATTTTCTTTTATTGGGTTGATAGTCAATGTCTGCCTTAAGAATCCAACTATTTAGTCTATTTTTTCATGTCTAACTTCTTTCTATTCAGATTTGTCTTTTTTCCTTTTGACCTATTTCAAGTGCTAGTAATTCTCAGGCTCTTGGGAGATAGAGTTTCCTTTGATTACAGTGGGAAAAAGCTTTGATGATCTTGTGAATGACAAAGAATGGAATTGGATGATTCAATTATATATCATCATTTTGTTGAAGAGGATGGATGACTTGAAGATGAAGTTATTTTTAGAGAATTTGGAGAGCATACTCCATATTTTTTTTTAAAAAAAAATGAGAAAATATTAACAATTTTTATTTTTATTTTTTTGTATTTAGTTAACATATTGCGTTATAAGGTTTTTTTGTTTTTGTTGTTTTTTTTTTTTTGGTTATGGAAAATTGAAAAATGAGTACTGACTCACATTATGGTATATATTTTGACAATGATGATGGATAATAGGTTTGCTTTCAACAAAAGTCAAAAACATCTTTAATTATAATTTGTTTTTTTTTAAAAAAAAGAAAAAAGAAAAAGAAAAGGTGGTGTTTTTCATAAAAACGTCGCAAAATGTCGTCATAATTACATCATAGTTAACTCATCTGACGGACATAGTTAACAGAAGTTAAGAATTAGTGTTACTTTTAAAAAACACTGTCCAAACTCTTTAGTGGAATTTTTAAGACACCAGAAAGATACGACAACGGCTATATCAGTGACGGATTTTCTCTTATTGGGTTGAGCTTGTCGGTTGGTCTTCTTGATTTGCTTAATCAGAGCCAATCTTCAACAAATCTCCACTTGGCGAGGATTCTCTATCCAACATAGTGTCCGTTGCATTGTACCCGAAGGTACTCATTGGTGAGAAATGTTGATCAAGTCCAAGTAGTATTTGAACTTGAACCCATATACCACCTTAGTGCACATGTCGGCAGGATTATTTGTAGTGCCAATCTTTTGAAGCAGGACATCTCCTTCATTCACTATTTCTCAAACGAAGTGGAATCGGACATCAATATGCTTGGTATGGGAATGATGGACTTGGTTCTTTGCCAAACAAATGGCACTCTGGCTGTCACAGTACACCTCCATGTGCTTCTGTACAATCCCCCAAGTCCTCGATCAATCCATGTAGCCAGATGGCTTCTTTGAATGCTTCTATTATTGCCATGTACGCTGCCTCTGTAGTAGACAAAGCTACCATTGACTGAAGCATTGACCTCGAATTCATCGGACCTTTAGCGAGAGTAAACAAATACCATGTTGTTGACTGGCATTTGTCCAAATCCCTAGCATAATTTGAGTCCACATATCCAACCAGATTTTGTTCGAGTCGGCTATCTCTCTCAAACTTCAATCCCAAATTAATTGTGCTATGTATGTACCTTAGGATCCATTTCACTACTTGTCAGTGACCTTTCCACGAATTATGCATATACCTACTTACCATACTCACAGCATGTGAGATGTCAAGCCTTGTACAAACCATAGCATACATCAATGCACCAACTGCATTAGCATATGGAATCTTTTTTTTTTTTTTTTGAACAAATTAGCATATGGAATCTGAGCCATATACTTGCACTCTTTCTCTGTGTGCAAAGACATCGAAGCACTAAGCTTCGCTCAAGCGCTCGAGCGCAAGAAGTTGCACCCATCGACGCACAAAAGTTGCACCGCTCGAGCGCAAGAAACTATACTCAAGCTAAGAATACCAACTCCCAGAAGTTTTACAGACAGAAGACTACCGCTCGAGCTCAAGAAAGGCCGCTCGAGCCAAGACCGGTCGAGTGCAAGAAACTTCTCTTGAGTGAAGAATACCACCTCCCAATAGTTTTGCAAACCTACAAAAGTACTGAGAGTTCACAAAAACAGCTCGAGTGCAAGAAGTGTTGCTCGAGCAAAGGAGCAAAATTCTAGGCCACAACCGTTTGAAAAACATGCTACTAACCTGTTCCAAACGCAACCAACACATCCCAATAGCCAAACTTAAAGAGAAATAAGGGGAAACAAGACAATAACAACTATATATGATAATGAAACTCGAATCCAAAACATCAATGGATCGGGTCTAAACCAGAATTGCTATAATGCACATGATAATCCATAACTGCACCACATGGTAATGTTGGGACCCACATAATTCTTGTAGTGATTTCTCAATCACCCCAAGCTTTCATTCTCTTTAAGTCTAGTGAAAGAGTGGAAACTTTCCATTTATTGTTCCAATAAAAATAGCCGTGTGTTGTTGTGATGAAAGGGTGCCCATTATACTATTTAGTAGTTTTGCAGGGTTCAAACATGTGGCGACCCTAATTTTATTATTTATTATTATTATGATTATTATTATTATTTATTTTATTTTTGGCTTTATTAATTGTGTGGTTGCATGAGAATTTAATGTGTTATTTAGTTAATTTAAGGAAAATTTACCTATAAGTCCTAGTTTCTGAAAAGTTGAACCATTTAGTCCTAAAAGTTTTCTTATGCTCCATTTAGTCCCATTTGCACATCAATCTAATGTTTGAAACATTAAATTGATGTTCGAAAACATCATCATCAACATTAAGCATTAAACATCATCAAACATTAAACATTAAACATTATTCATCATCAACATTAAACATCAAACATCATGGCAAGGCACCGTTTAGTCCCACTACCTACATCAGTAACATCAACAACATCATCAACATCATCAAAACATTATCCATCAAACATCAGACATAAAACATTATTCTTCAACATTAAATATTATTCATCATTATCAAACATTAAACATTAAACATCATCATCAACATTAAACATTAAACATCATCAAACATTAAATATTAAACATTATTCATCATCAACATTAAACATTAAACATCATGGCAAGGGATCTTATCTGAAATTCTCATCATCAACCCGTCGCTATGGCCATACCCGTCACTATGGCCAGATCTGAAATTCTCATCATCAACCCGTCGCTATGGCGATATATCATCATCAACCCATCGCTATGGCCAGATCTGAAATTCTCAGATTGAAGGGCTTTGAAGCTTTAGTACATCTCTCGGTGGTGAATCCGCCATCGCCGCCGTGATATGGCAAGGGATCGGTCTTTGATCTAACAGATCTGTGCACAACGATCTCGAAAGACGCGAAGCAGATGATGCCTGGCGGGGATTTCCGATGGCGGAGGAAGCACAGAGGTTACGCGGCAGTCATGGTGGCGGAGGAGGAGGAGGCGACGACATGGGAGGCGTCGGAAGAGGAGGTGAAGAGAGAGAGATGTTGATCATGGCGTTGATGTTGCAGACGCTGATGTTGCGATGTTGCAGACGTTGATGTTCACCATTTTTCTCTCCGATCCGATGTTCTCAATGTGAAATCAACATATATATATATATAGATTAATGAATCTGATGTTTTGAATCTGATGTTTTGATGTTTGAATCTGATGAATCTGATAGAGATCATCAAAAACTCAAAATCCGTTTGATGTTATTGAAGTTGTAGTTGATGTGGATGATGTTCCATGGTTATTAACATTGGGATAGGACCTAACGGTTCATAAGAAAATTCATAGGACCAAATGGGTTACAAGATACAAATTTGGGATTTATTGGTGCATTCCCCTTAATTTAATGTGTTAGTTAATTAGAAATAATTAATTCAAATATTTATTTGTATATATATTTAATCTTATATTTATATTTATATTTATATATATTATAATTATGTTGTATTATATAATATAATATATTATAATAGTTATTAAGTTAGAATAGGATTAGGATTCAATCATAAGAAAAAAAGAAGGGAAAATCGGTCTAAGGTCCCTATCCAACTTTTAGTAATAGATTAGGTCCACAATCTGTTCTTTTGTAGTCTAAGGTCCCTCACCCCATTCCCACTCCTAAACTCACCCATCTCACACCACTCTCACCACCACCACCACCGCCGGAATCTCGCTACTCTCTTCTACCCCTCCAGATCCCCAAACTCAACCTTCTTTCTTTCTCCCCCATTATTATAAACACTCTACTTCTAAAATTTTCCAAAACCTGCTTCATCTCTCTCTCTCTGTGGTGGCCATCGAGTCTCCCCTGCTTTTTCATAATCTCAAGTTCATTTTGAGGTTGTTGTTGGACAATGTGATGGCTACACTGAGGACCCAACAATTTCAGACAACTCAAATACTGCCACTTTTGCAACTATGATTCTGCGAATTCACAATGAAATATGGGAATGTGTGATATAAGATATCTACACAATTCACAATGAAATATAGGAATGTGTGATATAAGATATCTACACAAAGTGAAGCATTCTATCACAGATCTGGCGCACTCTCGAGTATTTGTTTCTGGGTTCTATTGCTGGGGTTAGGAGTTCCTCACTGCTCTCTTGTTCTTTAGTGGTTCCTTCTAAACAACAAATACTTGAACATCCCCAAAAACAAAACTAGGGAAATTCTAGTTTTCCCCAGATTTCTTCTTGTTTCACTAGATTATTATGTTGTTTTTTCAGATTTGTTCTGATTTCATAGATTATTTTTTGTGGGTTTAGTGAGAGATTGATCGATTGATTGATTTGTTGGGTGGGAGATGGTGAACAACCCAAATTGCTATTATCCAGTACATGGTGGTTTTACGACAACTGTTGTTTGGTTTTATTCCTTGATATCTCAATCTTATGTAAATTTACTGAAGTTCAGATCTGCCATTTATTCGGTTAGGTGCAGCACTTGAGTTGTTGCTATTTCACAAGCAGCTCAGGTAATGCTTGCTCTCGTCACAGGCCGAGTATGTAAGCAAATCAGATTGAATTTTCTTTGGATTGTGTGATTTTTCTCTTGATGTGCGAATTTTCTCTTGATGTGTGATTTTTCTCTGGACATGTTTGTGAAGCAAGTTGAAGCATATGCAACTAAATTGTTTCTGCACAATCAAACTTCAGATGTATACTTGTGGAATAAACACTTGTCTGACTATATCCATGCTGGTGATCGTTATGCTGCTGTTGAATGCTTTATAGATATGAATAGATCGAACGTAGACTGTGATAGCGTGACACTTGTAATTGCTCTTTCTGCCGTTACGGGGAGCAATGATTTATTAGAGTTGGGGCAGCAAATTCATGGCATGGCAATGAAATTGGGTTTCAATTTAGATGTTACAGTTGCAAATAGTCTTATTAACATGTATTCAAAGGCTGGGTGCCTAAGTTTTGCACGCAAAGTATTTGCTAGCATGGAGGAATTGGATTTAGTTTCATGGAACTCGATGATAACTACTTATGCACAAAGTGACTTAGAGGAGGAATCTGTGACCCACTATCTAGGTCTGTTGAGTGACGGCTTCAGACCTGATAATTATACGTTAGCAAGTGTTTTGAGGGCATGCTCTTCACTTACTTCAGGATTGTCTCTTGTTGAACAAATTCATGTTCATGCATTGAAAACTGGGATCGTAATGGACAATTAATTCATATCACCAGAAAATGATTTGGCAGTTCGCCAAGCGTGTCTTATGGCGATTGCTCTCAATCTTGTCGCAGTGGAGTTTGTAAGTGACTGCAAACCCGTTATTCATCTTCGTGTCGCAGTGGAATTTTCTCTGGACGTATGAATTTTCTCTGTGCCGACTTGCAGTTCATAGTTTTCACACCTGTGTTGACAGGTAACAAAAATACCCATTAGAGAAAACCTAAAAGCTAAGAAGGTGTCCAATAGAAACCCATAGTCATGTTTCTTTTATATACATATATATCCAAAAATTCAAGTCTTGTATTTTTGTTAATATAATACAGTTCAGTTTGTCAAGATTTTGGATTTTCTCTGGTAAAGGATTTGAATTTTCTCTGGTTTCATAGAGAAAAGATCCTATACAAAAACAAACAATTTTGTTCAGATAAATTTCATTTTTCTCTAGAGAGAAGGGAAATTTCTCTGGATTGGAGAGGAAGAATTTCTCTAGTTTGGGTTGGAAATGGAGAATTTCTCTGGGTTAAGTGAATTTCTCTGGATTGGAGATGAGAATTTCTCTGGTTTTCAGTGAATTTCTCTATGCAGTCCAGAATTTCTCTGGAAATTTTTTTTGAGAAGTTGCCTTTCTTTCTCACCTTTGAGACGCAAGGAAGTGAGTTGAGGTAGGGGAATTCCTATGTTCAAAAAAAAAAAGAGCAAAGAAATTTAGAAAGTTTAGCGAAGTCCGGAGAAATTTTCAAAATTTCTCTAGACCAATTTTCTCTGACTTGAATTTTCTCTGGACCAATTTTCTCTGACTTGAATTTTCTCTGGACCAATTTTCTCTGATTTGAATTTTCTCTGGACCAATTTTCTCTGACTTGAATTTTCTGGACCTTAGACATCATGAAAATATTTGATGTCCTTTATAATGTAAAATCATAATATCAGGGACCTTAAAAAAAAAGATGAGTGCACAACCATTTTAGTAGGTCAAACCTATTAAATAACTTTTCACTTTGAAATACATTAATTTGTATACAAACTTTGCTAGCATAATTTAAAAAAAAAAAAAAAAAATTTAATTAAAAAAACCCCCCAACGACTTTTTTTTTT